AAGTTCAGTGCAGAGGATATTACAACAATATATTTCTTTCTCCTTCCTCTCATCCTTTTTGCTATTGTTGTCACACATTTTCATGTTTTATACCCCACAAACATTGATACTATATTTATTTTAAATAGTCGATTACATTTTAAAGAGATTTTTAAAATGAGAAAATATTTCATCTATATTGACTGATTATCAAGTATTTACCCACATAGTTACCCTTTCTGGTCTTGTTCATTCCTTTTGGTAAATCTAAATTTCTATTTGGTATCATTTTTCTTGAATAACTATTCTTCTTCTTGAATAACTTCCTTTAATAATTCTTGTATCTCGGGCGCCTGGGTGGCTCAGTTGGTTAAGCGACTGCCTTCGGCTCAGGTCATGATCCTGGAGTCCCTGGATCGAGTCCCACATCGGGCTCCCTGCTCGGCAGGGAGTCTGCTTCTCCCTCTGACCCTCCTCCCTCTCATGCTCTCTGTCTCTCATTCTCTGTCTCAAATAAATAAATAAAATCTTTTAAAAAAATAATAATTCTTGTATCTCAGGTCTGCTGGCAATGAATTGTCTTGGCTTTCTGTTCATCTGAAAAAGTATTTTGTCTTCAGTTTGGAAATATATTGTTGCTGAGTACAGAATGCCATGTGGAGATAGTTTTTTCTTTCAGTACTGTAAAGATACTGTTCCACTGTCTTTTGGCTTGCATGATTTTTTAAGAGAAGACTGCTGTCATCTTAATTTTATTTCTCTGTACATCATATGTCTTCTTTTTCCCTGACCGATTTTAAGGTATTCTTTCTACCATTATATTTCAGCAATTTGATGATAATGTGCCTTGGTGTGATTTTCTCCTTGTATCTTCTATTAGGAGTTTCTTAAGCTTCTTGAATCTGTGGTTTTATCATTTTAATTAAATTTGGGAAAGTTTCAGACATTTTTTATTTCAACATTTTTTATCTCCTTCTGGGACTCTACAGAAATATCAGACCCATTTGGTATGATCATACAGGCGACTGATGTTCACTTAGTCTTTTTCTCTTTTATTTTTGATAGTTTCTATGGTGATGTCTTCGAGCTCACTGATACTGTTTTCTGCAGTATCTTATCTGAATGTTAATCCATCTAGTGTATTTATCACTTTAGGTAGCATGTTTTTCATCTCTAGAAATTCACTTTGCTCCTTTTTGATATCTTTCATTCTTTCCTCATCACATTCATCTTTTTTCTTATCTTGTTTAGCTTATGAGGTATATTTATAATATGTGTTCCAACCTCCTTGTCTGCTAATTCTGTCATTTGTGTCATTTCCAGGTCTTGTTTCTTGATTATCTTTTCTACTGTTTTTAGGTCCTATTTTCCTGCTTCTTTGTATGTCTATAGCTTTTGACTAGATTCAGAACATTGTAAGTCTGACATTACTAGATTTGTGAAGTCCTTCATATATGGTTGGGCTTTGTTTTAGGACATAGTTGAGTTACTATGAGGACATAGTTGAGTTACTCTGTTTGATTCCTTTGGGGCTTGCTTTTACACTTTGTTAGTATGGATGGAGCAGACTTCATAGTCTAGGGCAATGTCCTCTCACTCCCAAGGGACTATCCTCATAAGGACTCTACTCACTGGTACATATTCTAGGAAATCTGCACTTTGCCTGGTGGAAACATGAAATATTCCCAGCCTTCTGTCCACCTTAGGGATAGTTGGCCCATTCCTTTCTGAGCATTCTCTCCCTGGTCCCCAGATCCTAAGTGACATGGGCTCTAGATATTCTTTAAAAACGCGTGTATGCTGTTGGTGGGAATGCAAGCTGGTGCAGCCGCTCTGAAAAACAGTATGGAGGTTCCTCAAAAAGTTGAAAATAGAGCTACCCTACGACCCAGCAAATGAAGTAACTTCTGGGTATTTACCCCAAAGATACAAAAGTAGGGATCCGAAAGGGTACGTGCACCCCGATGTTTTTAGCAGCAATGTCCACAATAGCCAAACTGTGGAAAGAGCCAAGATGTCCATCGATAGATGAATGGATAAAGAAGATGTGGTATATATATATATACACAATGGAATATTATGCAGCCATCAAAAGGAATGAGATTTTGCCATTTGCAACAACGTGGATGGAACTGGAGGGTATTATGTTGAGCGAAATAAGTCAAACCGAGAAAGACATGTATCATATGATCTCACTGATATGAGGAATTCTTAATCGCAGGAAACAAACTGAGGGTTGCTGGAGTCGGGGGTGGGGTGGGAGGGATGGAGTGACTGGGTGATAGACACTGGGGAGGGTATGTGCTCTGGTAAGCGCTGTGAATTGTGCAAGACTGTTGAATCTCAGATCTGTACCTCTGAAACAAATAATGCAATATATGTTAAATAAAAAAAAGAAGAAGAAGAAGGTAGCGGGAGGGGGAGAATGAAGCGGGGGAAATCGGAGGGGTAGACGAACCATGAGAGACGATGGACTCTGAAAAACAAACAGGGTTCTAGAGGGGAGGGGGGTGGGAGGATGGGTTAGCCTGGTGGTGGGTATTGAGGAGGGCACATTCTGCATGGAGCACTGGGTGTTATGCACAAACAATGAATCATGGAACACTACATCAAAAACTAATGATGTCATGTATGGGGATTAACATAAGAATAAAAAAATTTAAAAAAACAAACGTGTGTATGCATGCGTGTGTGTGAATGGGCTTGAGTGTGTATCTGTATACATGGCTGTGCATGTGGAGGGTCACAAATGGCATTCAGAGCCCATGAGACAGTAAAGCCTGGTGTGTGGGTCCCTTTTGTCTAAATCTAAGGATGGTATTAAGGGAATCCACTGCAAGCTTATACTACTTTAGAGAAAAGCAATGGAGAACTATCATGATAGTGAAAAAAAAAGTGCTAAGTATTAAGCATCACTGATTAAGACAAAGTCTTTGGGGACACCTGGGTGGCTCAGTCGGTTAAGCATCTGCCTTTGGCGCAGGTCATGATCCCAGGGTCCTGGGTTCAAGTCCCATGTTGGGCTCCCGGCTCAGCAGGGAGCCTACTTCTCCCTCTGCCTGCTGCTCCCCCTGCTTGTGCACTCTCTCTCTCTGACAAATAAATAAATAAAATCTTTTTTTAAAAGCAGTATAGCTGATAAACCAATAGTGGAGATAAAATGGAATCATTTTTTGTAATCAATCCCCAAAAAAGGGGAAAAAATGAACAATTAAAAAATAAATAGCAATATGGTAGATGTAAATCCTGCCGTAGTACATTAATTATATTTACCTATGTGCATAATCACATTAAATGTAAATGTGACAAGTAAAAAAATAGCCATATATGAGACAGAACAAGAAAGGCATTTTTAAAAAGATATACAGTGCTGTGAGGATCCAGAAAAGAGATTATATCTTCTTTTTTTTTTTTTAAGATTTTATTTATTTATTTATTTGACAGAGAGAGGCAGTGAGAGAGGGAACACAAGCAGGGGGAGTGGGAGAGGGAGAAGCAGGCTCCCCGCCGAGCAGGGAGCCCGATGCGGGGCTTGATCCTAGGACCCTGGGATCATGACCCAAGCCCAAGGTCTGACTGAGCCACCCAGGCTCCCTGAGAGATTATAACTTCTTAAAAATAAAATCTAGGCTGTAAAGAAGTAATCCTTAGTCCTTGCACAGACAGGTACTGGGGGTGAAGGAGGTGTGGGTGATGTTTCTGAGAGAGAAAGCGTCCAATAAACACACACACACACACACACACACACACCCTGGCTAGCTGTATTAAGGAAATAGTGAGTCATTAACCTTATCTGGAGTTCAGGTTCCCTCACACAACATTTGGAACAACAGTGGGAGATAAGATTGGAAAGGTAGATTGGAGGCATATTCAGGAGGATTTAGAATATGGAACTGGGTATTTGCCATTCAAGAGGCATTATTTATTTAAAGATATTGAGGTAAAATTTACCATAGTTATAGGTACCCTAGGGAATATCACTAGCCAACTGCCCCCGATCTGTTTACATATAACTTTATTATTTATAATGGTTACATAGGGGGGCACCTGGGTGATGCCGTTGGTTAAGCATTAGACTCTTGGTTTCAGCTCAGATCTGATCTCAGGGTCGTGAGATCGAGCCCCGAGTAGGGCTCTGTACTCAGTACGGAGTCTGCTTGGGCTTCTCTCTCCCTCTCCCCCACGGTGCGCATGCTCTCTCTCTCTCCCTCTCTCTTTCTCTCAAATAAATTTTAAAAATCTTTTTTAAAAATGGTTACATAGCATTTTTTAAAATTTTATTTATTTAAGAGAGAGTGGGCACAAGCGGGGGAAGGTGGAGGGAGCAGACTCCCCACTGAGCAGGGAGCCCGATATGGGACTCGATCCCAGGACCCTGGGATCATGACCTGACCTGAAGGCAGATGCTTAACCCACTGGACCACCCAAGCACCCCTACATAGCATTTAATCATATGGATTTACCAACATTTATCTAACCCTTCCCTTATTTTTGGACCTATAGGCCATTTCTTTTTTTTTTTTTTTTTTTTTTTGGCCATTTCTAATTATTCTGCAGTTGCAATAATTTTATAACAACCTTCTTTTGCTAATTTTTTTTCTCTTTCACATTACCTTTCATAGGCCAGAAACTTAGATATTCAACTGCTTAAATAAGATATGAAACAATTTAAGATTGCTCATATGTATTTTAAGGTTAATTTGCTCAAACATTTGTGCAAATGTACAGTTCTACTTGAGGTTTTAAATTTAGTAGTCTGTATAGATTTTAATTTTCCCCCACGAGTGCCCTATAGGGTCTGCTAAACCTCTGATAAATATTACTCAGATATATATTTAATATAGATATTAAAAGAGTACTCCTTTAAAAAATACTCTCAATAAAAGAACTTTAATAAGCTTGACTAAATATTTAGAAAGCATATTGTGTTGAGTGAAACTTTGTATGTAATAATGAGGGTAATAGAAAATCATATTGGATGACTAGTCTGTAATTATCTGAAGGAACACATACAATGAAACAAGTTCTTTTGGTTACTTCATCAAACAGCCAACACAATGGGGGAAGTGGAGGAAATGTCCCATAAACACTATGAAAAGGGAACCAGAAAACCTAACATGTAATCTTAGAGTAATGACAGCATTAGAAAACAAACCTACAAGAGAGAACACCTTCCAGAACTATCTGAGATGCATGAAAAGCCAACATTCACTAAAGCTGGAGCTCTACTAAGTCTGTACAAAGATAAGTGGCATATTTGACCTTCACCATGATTAACAAGCATTTCTTTGAAATTGTGTTGGTGCTGTTGGCCTCTTCTACCCTCTTCTCCGTCGGACTGAAACTGGCTCTCATCCAACAAAGAGTAAACAGAGAGAGTTTAAGACTCTGGAATAAATTGCAAAAATCATCAATTCAGCAGTGTCTACCACACAGGACAAACTTCCTACTTCCCCAGCAGTCTCTGAATCGTCACTGGGACCAGAGAGGACAGGCACTGGTCATTCTTCATGAGATGCTTCTGCAGATCTTCAACCTCTTCAGGGCAGATATTTCTCTGCATGGTTGGGAGGAAAGGCACATGGAGAATTTCCTCACTGAACTTCATCAACAGCTGGAATACCTAGAAGGGCTTAGAGACCTGGAAGCAGAGCAGAAAAGTGGCATTCTGAGTGGTAAGAACCCTAGGTTGCATGTTAAAATGTACTTCTGGAGGATCCATGATTACCTGGAAAACCAGGAGTACAGCCGCTGTGCCTGGACCATTGTTCGAGTAGAAATCAACCGGTGTCTGTTCTTTGCCTTCCAACTGATAAGAAAGCTAAGAAAACAAGAAATGGATTCCTTGAAGAATGTAGAGCAAGAGCCAACTGCAGGCTTTAAAAGCATAGGGTAGGTGGAGGGGTGGGAGGACTTTTCCAGACACTATTACTCCTTTTTTTCGTAAGTTGGTAGTATTGTTTGGGTTTTATGTATATATATATATATTTTTTAATCTGTCCTTTAAGATTATGCATATTGACTACAATTGTCTGTATCTTGTAATGTCACTTTGTATTTTCTATTCATCTTAAGTTTTATGAGTTAAAGTAGATCCATTAATGTTTCATAATTGGTTCTTCAAATGGGTATATTTTCATCAAAGTTGACCAGGTAAATAAAATGAAATATGTCTCCACTGTAATAATACTTTTCTTGAAATAGAACATCCATTCCAGTGATTCCTTTGCCAGAAATTAGTAGACACAATGAGAAATACTAGGGATAATGTGCACTGCGAGATTTGAAAATATCAATACACACTGAATATTTGTTACAGGTGACACAATAGAAATAGGGCCAAAGGGCGTGAGCAAGCAGATTGCAGAGGGAAAACAAATGCATGAGAAGAGATTCAACCTCACTCATAATAATAAAAGATGCAAATTAAAAGTGAATAACATGCCATTTATAACAGATAGGTGAAGGCCCACACTCTCTGGAGATTTGGGAGAGGGATGCTCTTATAATTTGCCAGAGCACTGGAAATTGGTAGGATCACTATAGAGGCAAATTGGGGATACCTATTAAAATGATAGTCTTTGATCCATAAATTTTGGGTTTGAAATTTATCTTATAAAAACACTTGCACATGTGTGTAATGACTTATGTACAATATTATTCATTGCAGCATTATTTATAATATCCAAAAACAGGAAACCACACAAACTCTTTTAATTAGAGACAGTGAAGTATATTCACACAAAGGAACACTACTCAGCTGGAGAAAATGATGAGGATGCTCTTCCTATACTGAAAAAAAAAGTAAAAAAAATAGGCAAGATGCAGAACGGTGTATATAAAATGCTATATTTGACATTAAAATGTAAAACAAATTTTACATTTGCCCTAACTTGTGTATGAACAAATAAAGAATGTATAAGAAGTAAATTACAATGATAACCTGTATTTTGGGGAGGAGACACTAAGGGAAGAGGACAGGGCAGAGGTCGTTTTACAGCTTATTTTTATATTTTAATTTTTAGTCCCATGAACATTACAAAGTAAAATAATAAACTAAAATGCATCTAACAAGTGCCAGTTATTAGAAATATGCATGAAGGAGGGGTGCCTGGGTGGTTCAGTCATTTAAGCATCTGCCTTCAGCTCAGGTTGTAATCTTGGGGTCTTGGGATCAACCCTGCTGGGGGCTCCCAGTGGGGAGCCTGCATCTCCCTCTGCCCCTCCCCCTGCTCATGCTCTCTCTCTCTCTCTTAAATAAATAAAATCTTAAAAAAAAGTAAAGGAAATATTCATGAAGGAGTCTTGCCGGCAAAAGGAAGTGTTAGATGAAGATTAGAAGAAACAGAACTGCACCAGCTTACCTTGGCGGGGAAGGGAGTGGCCAGGAGGAAGAGAGCCGGACAGAAGGGCCCCCACACCAACCAAGGGAGAGGGCTTCCACTCGCCAGAGCTGCCGGTGATGAAGGCAGTCCAGCGCCTCCAACCAGGAGCTCTCAGAAATCCTCATGGAGCAACTGTGGGGCCAGAGAAACTGCCATTCAGTGAGACTTGGTGGCTTTCCTACAGTCACAGTGACTTTCGCCCAATGTAAGAAGCAGAGCCACGGCCCAAAAGTCTGGGTCTAGTTCCACTACTTGACGTCATGTTCTGCTTTAGATTCATTGCATAATTTGAGATGAAATGGATCCCTGAATGTGAAAACTTGCTGAAGAACAAAACCTATTTCATCCCTGTTTAATTAGCATAAGTGTATTATTATTTCGTACATTTCCTTGACAAGTCTTGGACAAGACCTTTAAGGTGAAGTAACTTGCTCAAAGTAATGTAACAAGCCATAGAGCCAGCCAATGCCAGAACAAAGATTCTCAACCAGCTCCACCTGACTCAGAAAGCTGCACTGTGTTCCAGACCCCACAAACCCGAACAACACTGTGCAGTATCTCTGCAAAATAATAATGATAACAAGAATGATGATAATTTGCTCTGGCTTTCCTTATTCAAGTTCACACACTGTCTGCAGCCTTGAATTAAAGAAAGAACATTTTCTCTCCCTGGACATTTCTTTCCTCAGAATTGAGGGAAACAGAATGGAGGAGGTGCCAAGTAGAAATTCATAGCAGATAATACATACTCATATTTAGAAGCTAAAACTGATACTGTATATGCTAATGTTTCCCCAAACATTTAGCTTTATTAAGTTGACATCCTGCTTCTCTAACTGTCTTCACTGCCTAATACAAAATAAAAGTTGCTTGCTTTTAAATATATGTGCCATCTTAAAACTTTAAAACCAGAGTTCTAAACTTGGAGATATTGAGGAAGATAAATACTTTAAAGAGACTAGATGAAAAAACAAACAAACAAGCAAACAAATAAATAAAAATAAAGAGACTAGATGCCCTGCTAGCAGGGCATAGGTGGGCTCAGAGTAAAGGTAAGATCATTTGTACTCACAAGCTGGGTCATCTGAGTTATCCTTGTTACACCTACATGTACTGAGCTAGATAGATTATTAAATGAAAAAGCAGGTTACAAAATAAGCAAGTATAGTATCATCATATTTTCTATAAATAAAAATGCATGTAAAATGTCTGGAAAAATGCGCTAAAATGTTCGCAGTAGTGCTACCTGGGTGATAGAATTTTCATTGTCTTATACTTTCTGAGTTTTAAACATTTCTCCCATGAATATGGATTCATTTTAGAATCAGGAAAAAAATTAAATGATTTTATTTTTGAAACTTAAAAAAAGAACAATAAATATGGCTCCTTGTAGAGATTTGGCTCAGGATACTTACCACCTACAATAAACTAAGCCCCACCTCCAGTATGTATCAGAAACATCTAGAGAGCTTGTTAAAACAGATGGCATGGCTTCACGCCCAGTGTTTTTGATCCAATAAGTCTGTAGTGGGGCCTGAGTGTTTGCATTTCTAACAATTTCTAGATGATGCTGATGCTGTTGGTCCTAAGACTCCATATTACAAATCATGTCTCTTGTTTCTTGATAGCGTTGGTAGACTTTTAACAGATAAAGGCCTGGTCTCCTTCAGATTACTGATCTCATATTTTCCCACAATACCATCCTAGGTGGGAGATAGCTGATGAGGAGGGTTTTTTCTTTTTCTTTTTACTGCCTTTTCACAGCAGCAGATTCGATGGTCTTTCTCCTTCTTAAAGAAGCTGGATATAGAGATTATGATACCCCAAGGGCACCCCGTGACAGGAACTGTCTTCTCAGGAAAATGACCCAAACCAAGTTTTTGTCTGGAAGGGTTTCTGTTCCTCATGCCTGTGATTGTATGAAATCAAACCTACAACCATTATCTGAGTGGATGAGGAATATGATGTGAACACAAAGGAAATCAAACCTCTGAAAGATGGAGGTTTCTAAGGTAAAAGATGGCAGACTGGTTCAATAATCCAGAAGTATAGATGTTTGGTAAATACAGAGATTTGGGGGGCATTCTTGGAATTGCCTTTGGCTGAAATGAGTCATTTAGCCCAAGTTTTCTCCCCTGTATCCAATGACTGGATGTGGGAGGAACAAGGCTCAGACCCCTCACTCCACCTCTAAAGGGGCATTGCAGCTTCATAGCCCCGTCCCTCACCCAGGTTTTGACTAAAGCCATGTTGTGACTGGCCTGCATTTCAGCTTTTCCTCTCTTCCACTTCTGCCTTCTCTTCTTACATGTGTTGTGCCCATAGCCCTCCCTAATAAACTCCTTGCATGGCAATTTTGTCTTGGAGTCTGCTTTCTCAGCACCTGACTTCCAAAAGCATAACCCACAGACCTTCCATTTGGGGCCATAGCAAACCCAAATTCAGGGACGCCTGGGTGGATCAGTTGGTTAAGCATCTGCCTTTGGCTCAGGTCACGATCCCGGGGTCCTGGGATCGAGTCCCGCACTGGGTTCTCTGCTCAGCTGGGTGTCTGCTTCTCCCTCTCCCTCTGCTGCTCCCCCTGCTTGTGCTCTCTCTCTCTCTCTCTCTCTCTGACAAATAAATAAAACCTTTAAAAGAAAGAAAACCCTAATTCACATATTGCCTTGGTCAAGTACAATTAGCTTCCTAATATGTGTTACTATCTTATTCTTGCTATTTATGACTCCTTAAAATTTGTCACTTCACAGAAAACCCTTAGAGTCTGATTTGTCTAAATCTGTTTGCCTCTCCAGAGAACAACTCCTATCATGTCACAAACCACACTGTACTATGAGGAATTACTTCTCTTTCAACAAAAGTATGACCTACTTCAGGGTGGGGAAAGGACTTCTTGACTCTTTGCCTAGCATATTCTTGAACACATAAAGGGACAATCTAAATATTGAATGAATAAGGACATTTAAAATGCAGTGTTAACAGAAAGAAGAGATAGACAGGGGCACCTGGGTGGCTCAGTCGGTTAAGCATCTGCCTTTGGCTCAGGTCATGATCCTGGGGTCCTTGGGCTCCCTGCTCAGTGGGGAATCTGCTTCTCCCTCTCCCTCTGCTGCTCCCCCTGCTTGTGCTCTCTCACTCTCTCTCTTTAAAAAATGTTAAAAAAAAAAAAAAGAAAGAAAAGAAATATGTAAATACCATATTGTCATGGTCATTTATATGTGTGAGAAGACACTCTACCTAGAGATGAGGAAGTCTTGTTTATGTGTCTGCTAAGAGGTTAAGTTCTTATTTTTGTTTTTCAGTTTCTCTACTTTTCCTGGATGGACAATTTGGATAAGCTATGTCTTGCAGTAAAAAATAAAGTATCTTTCTTTATCTAACGAAAGATTGTTTTTTATCCTTGTATGGTATGGATACAATAAGATAATGACATGATATGTAGAGCAGAAGTGCTGGTGGGAGCCCTTCTTCTAATTGTTCTGCTTATCTGAGAAAATCCTTTCCTGAACCC